TTCCCCGCATTCATGAATCCAGCCGTCTACGACGCCTGCTTGCTGCCCTCAGCCTTTGACGGAGGAATGAAGGGCTTGCCCTCCATGGTGTTGATGGCGACGTCGGCGTAGATCATGTGAGGGCGGAGCTCGACGGGGGTGACGCCGGGGCGCTGGTCCGGGATGTGCTTCTCCAGTTTCTGTGGCGGACGTTAGCATATATTGTGTGTAGAATCTGGCCAGCAAAGATGTTTTCCTCTGCAACCAAGCATTGAGGTCTTCCTGGGCCATGGGTGGTGGTAACGTACCAGGTTCTCGTAAACACACTTGTTCAGCTTCCACTCCATCGGTCTGCACTGGTAGAGCTGGTGGTTGCGGTTCTCGACACAGGTCCAGTGGGCACGGAACTGCTCGAGGCAGTGGGTGTTGATGTCCTTGATCCTGTGTTCGTTCCTGTCAGCCATCTGTCGTGAATCATACCGCCGGTATCATCCATCTCCTCCGTAGCCCCGGGAAAGGTTCCCTCGCAGACACCATATCCACCGGCAACCAAGAAAGGGAAGAAGCGAAACGTACACGCTGGAGGCGCATCTCGTGACCCGGCGGCCCTCCTTCAAGCAGTCGAACTCGCCGCGGCCCGCGCTGTCCGTCTTGCACTGCATGAAGTCGTCATTGTATTCGCGGCAGCGGGCGCCGATGAAGTAGGACGCGGACAGCAGGGGCGCCGAGCTGGCGCCGACCTCCTTGACCTTGGGGATGTCGTCGGGGAGCGGGGCCGTGTCGACCTGCTGCTGCTGGTTGAATCTAATCGTACCGACAGAGGTTAGCTTGCCGTTGGTCTAGGTCTCGTAACTTTTTTGGGCGCGGAGGGATGAACACCCGCCGGTTGGCTCACGGAGCGCCAATTGGTGCGAGGGAGGGAGGTGAAGACATACTGGGGCCGTCGGGAAGACATTGTTGCTGTTGTGGTGATGGCCGCGGGGGTGGGTGGGAGGACGGGACGTCGGGGACGGATTCGCGATTGCGTCGTCTGGCGGGCAAGCTTTCGACGGCTACGGACGCTTGGGAATTGAGGTGAGGTCGATTTAGCGGGTGTCTGATTGGCTCGGTTCGATGGCGAGGCTGGAGTGGAGCCTTGCTCTGTGGCGCGTACCGGTGTAGGTGTGGCTGCTGCTTTCGGTGAAGCTCAGGTCAGGTACCTGCGAGCTCCGATTTATTATTTTCGCGTCGCCGTTGCTTGGGGATCAGACGCCGACACTTTCAAGGGTAGCTTTCCGGTGGTGAATTTCGCACCCGCAGGCCGATTGAAGATTCTCCTGCGACATCTGCTTGCTGGCTCCTTCCAGAAGCGCGGTTTCATTCTTCTTTTTCCGTTGTTTTGATACCCGCGAAGACCCTTTATTTTCCCTTTTTCCTTTGACGATGCAGTAAGGGTCTCGTGCATTGTTTTCTTCCGCGAACCTACCTTGCGCATCAATCTCATCCTCAGCCTTGCGACGACGACCGATTGACGCCCGAACTCACGGATAATACATTTGCATTGTCGCCATGAGTCTATTCGGAGCGCCGAAGCCCGCTGGGCAGACGGGCGGTGGCCTTTTCGGCGGTGGAGGATTTGGCAGCACCCTGGGACAGTCGACGCAGCAGCCGCAGCAGCAACAGCAACAGCAGCCAGCCCAGCAGCAGGGCGGCCTCAGTCTGTTCGGCCAGCCGCAGCAGAGCCAAGGAAGCACTCTCGGCTTCGGGCAATCTCTCGCCCAGCCTCAGCAAAACCAACAACAACAGCAACAGCAGCAGCAGCAGCAGATGCCCAGCCTGTCGCAGTCGCAAGCGCAGCTGTCCAGTTCACTCTGGCAGCCTGGCAGAGACACACCTCGTACGTGGCCCCCTTTCACCTTCCTCTTACTGATTGAGCATCCGTCTGACCATCTACCACGTAGAGAACCAAAAGCCCATACCCGAGCAGATGGCCCTCATCATCGAGAAGTGGAACCCCACGAACCCCAACTGCGCCTTCAAGCACTACTTCTACAACAAAGTCGACGAGGCCGCGGTGCCCTTCTACAAGCCCGGCCCGCACGAGGACCCCAAGGAGTGGGAGGAGGCGCTGCAGAAGAAGCCCGCGCCGGGCTTCATCCCCGTCCTCTGCACGGGCTTCAACGGCGTCGCGGCGCGCCTGCAGACGCAGAAGAAGGTGGTCGGCGAGCTCAACTTGCGCCTGCACCAGATCAATGCAAGCCTGGACGCGATCCTGTCGCGGCACGACCTCGAGACGAGCGTGCGCGCGCTGGCGGCCCGCCGGCGGCACGTTGTCCTGCGGGAGCGGTGCCTCGCGCTCGCGGCGCGGGTGCAGGTGCTGCGCAACCGCGGATACGCGATGAGCGGGGACGAGGACGACCTGCGGCTGAAGCTGGCGGAGCTGGAGCGCAGCGTGCAGGACCCGGCGCTGGCGGCGAGGGAGGAGGAGCTGTGGAGCAGGCTGATTGTGTTGAGGGACTATGCGGACCAGCTGATGAAGGAGGCGAACAAGCCTGCTTTTGCGAGCGGCGAGGGTCTGAACGAGGAGACGGAGCATAAGGCGAAGAAGGTGGGTTTTCTTATTTAGAGACTATGTTTTACGCAGTGGCTAACTTATTGCAGGTATTGGAAGACTACGAGAAGCAGATTCAGCACCTCAAGAAGGAGGTCGAGTCGATCACGAAAGACTTTGAGCAGTGGGAGAAGGAGCGTAACCCGTCGTCATGAGTCGAACGAAGAGGGTTTCGGGTTGAGTTGTCAAATTCTTGTTATAATAGAGGACCGGATCGGCGCGAGCGGAAGCTGTTTTTCATGTGGGAGTAGGAACGATAGCTCATCGCCCATCAAAGGCACCGAAAATTAGTGAGGAGCACGTGGAAACGCAAGAAGACGGGGTCCCTTGGGTGTCTCTAAAGTCGTGATGTTTGATTGTCTCTGGATTTCGATGTGATCTATAGTCATAGCCCATCCACACCAGCCGTTTGTACATTTGTACACATGATATTTTTACAACGGGGATATTCTAGTTGTCCCTGTACACCCGTCTCCCAGCCATTATGGCTCTACCTGCCGTATGCTTCTGCGTCTGCGGCATGTCTTTTGGAGGGTCTGAAGCAGATGATCTGCGTCTGTTTTTGTTCTCAAGCCCTATGGCAGGCCCATGAGGTTCATGTTTGGTCGGTGATGGTTATTTACAGGACCTTGGAGGCGAGGTCGACGGCGAAGGGGGCTGTTGATGGACGGTCAGTAAGGGCTCTTGAGGCTTGATGCTGGCTGTGGAGGCACTCACAGAGGTAAAGCAGGACGGCAGAGACGAGGACCTGCTGGACGGTGAAGCTGGCCTCGGCCTCCATCTGCTTGATCTCCTCCTCGGAGAGCTGGGGGGGCGCGACTACGGGACACAGCCAAGTCAGTTATTTCAGTTCTTTCCGAAGGGTGCAACGGTGGGTACGTACATCCTCCGAACATTTTGACTGCGGAGTATTAAGGTATCGACGGGACGGAGAGGTTGGTGATACTTTTGTTCTTCTGCGCGTGGCCCGGTTCAGCGATGATGTCGTCGCAAAAATTTAGAGATAGCTCCAGCTGGATGGGTCCCACCCGACGCACAATCCAGCCTGGGCGGCACGTACCTTTCCACCTGGTGCGGCTCTTTAGTGGTGGTGGTGGGAATGCTCGCTCGAGTTTCTCACAGTGTGCGTAGCGGATACCATTTCCACATGCACTCGGATTTGGCCACCGAGCGTGCTCGGGTACGCATCCGTCGGCCTGATGCCAGCACTAGAAACACCACACAACGCTGTGGTGGGGGAGCGCCACCCCTGTCCCTGTGCGGCTCGCGGTGCGCTTCCCTGAGTGGCTGGATGGTCTGATTTTGGCACAGTCATCCCGGGCCGAGGATAGCCCGTCGCATGTTTTGCAGTGTTGGCTTTGGGGGCCCCCCAGGATGGAGGGGTGCTTGATGGCTGGGGAACTGCACCTGGGGCCGGATGGTTCTTATCGGGCTGGCTTTTAGCGCGCTTATCAGCGGACCTTAATATTTCTTGTCGCGATAAGGATTGGCGGCGGGCGGTTTCTCAGTGTGCGCTCACCAATTCCTGGCGCTGCGCTCAACCCGCAACGAATCGAAGGCGTGGCGGCAGACCGGTTCCTTTGGGCTGTCCAGGTACCTCTCATCATGCCTTACCTTCCTGAGGTCGGGTAGATCCAATACCAGTGAGGCACCTTTGGTAGGTGGTAGGTGGGAGCTGCAACAGAAGCGGCGGTAAGTATGTAGGGCGCTCGACTCAGAGACGGCCATCCCTGGACTCCCAATGGGACCCTTTTACTTGTACCTTACACGCCTCAAAAAGCCAAAAATTTAAAGACGTTTGGCAGTCGGCTTCTCACCGACTTCGCCAAATCCGAATCAGCCAACTTGCGGCCATTGCTGCGCGTCTTCTGCAACGTTTTCATTTGTGTCTCACTCGACCAAGGTAGATAAAGATCCTGAAAAAGTCTCCGTGTCATCGTGTTTGAATCAACGGACGGGAGAAGGAGCGCGCTGTTGCTCTGGCCCCTCCACCCTCCCCCGTCCCGAGTCGGTCTCAAAGGTGGCGACAAGGGTATTGCTTTTCGAGCGCAGCGGCAACGATATCGGGCTTCGGTCCCCGATCCGAGCAGCTCATACAAGAAAGACACCACCACCACCACAACGGCTCGAACTTCTCGTTCGCTTGCCTCTCCTTCCCTTCTTCTCTACTCACAACTTTCTTCACATAGAGGGTTCGTCAGTCGCTGTGGTCTGACCAATCTCATCCCTTTCTTTCCTTCTTCCAGGGAAAAAGAGAGATTATACCCTCCCTCCTTCTTATCGCCACACACATTCCTACACATTCACAGCCATGGCATCACTGAGGTTGCCCCTCTCCCGCCAGCTTCGGCTGGTGGCTCCGCGGTCGAGGGTCGTCGGTCGCCAGACGGGCCTCTTACCATGGGTTTGCAACTCTTGCGTTGCCTCCGGCATGGCCCCGAGCCGTGTCACTCGCGTGAGGACATTCTCAGCGATTACTGCCCACGCCCAGGCGACGAGCAGGCAAACTTCCGTGGACGCCTCCCTTGAGCCGCTCCAGAGGCCCGAGTCGTTCATCCCCCGCCACATCGGCCCCGACGTCAGCGACGCCGAGGCCATGCTCAAGGCGCTGGATCCTCCCGTGAAGACGATTGACGAGTTTATTGCCCAAGTGCTGCCCCCGGATGTCTACTCCGAGAGGAAGACGTTCGCGTGGGACAATGAGGGCCCCATGGACGAGAGCAAGATTCTGGCCAAGGCGACAGCCTGGGCCAAGGCTAACGAGGCCGCCCCGAAGCCCTTGATTGGCGCCGGATACAACCCGAGCGTCACTCCCAGAGTTATTCAGACCAACGTTTTGGAGAGCCCTGCGTGGTACACCAGTTACACGCCCTACCAGCCCGAAATCAGCCAGGGCCGTCTCGAGTCGCTCCTCAACTACCAGACCATGGTCTCTGACCTGACGGGTCTGCCGATTTCCAACGCCAGTCTTTTGGACGAGGGTACGGCCGCCGCCGAGGCCATGACCCTGTCCATGAATGCGCTTTCCAGCTCTCGCGCGAAGAGGCCCGGCAAGACCTTTGTCGTGTCCGACCTCGTTCACCCCCAGTCCATCTCCGTCCTGAGGAGCAGGGCTCAGGGTTTCGGCATCAACGTCGAGGTTGTCGACATCAGCAGTGCCGAGGAGAAGATCAAGGATTTGGGCCAGGATTTGGTCGGTGTCATGGTCCAGTACCCCGACACCAAGGGCAAGGTTGAGGACTTCAAGGGCCTTTCCGATCTCGTGCACTCCCAGGGCGCCCTTCTCAGCGCCGCCACCGATCTCCTGGCTTTGACGGTTCTCACTCCCCCCGGCGAGTGGGGTGCCGACATCGCCTTCGGCAGCGCCCAGCGTTTCGGTGTTCCCCTCGGCTTCGGTGGCCCCCACGCCGCTTTCTTCGCCGTCAAGGAGGCCCACAAGCGCCGCATGCCCGGCCGTCTGGTCGGTGTCTCCAAGGACCGCACCGGCCGCCGCGCCCTGAGATTGGCTCTGCAGACCCGCGAGCAGCACATTCGCCGTGAGAAGGCCACCAGCAACGTCTGCACTGCTCAGGCTCTGTTGGCCAACATGGCCGCGCTGTTCGCCGTCTACCACGGTCCCGAGGGACTGAGGGAGATTGCGACGCGACTCGTCCGCCTTGCTCGCGGTGTTCAGGCTGTTGCCGAGGCCGCCGGCTTGGAGACCGAGCAGAGCGGAGCCAGCCCCGACGGCAAGGTGCTTTTCGACACTGTCGTCATCAAGGCTGGCGACAAGGCGCAGAAGATTCTGGAGGAGGGCAAGAAGGCCGGCCTGGGCTTCCGCGACTATGGAAACGGCGATGTCGGTATTAGTGTTAACGAGCACGTCAACGAGGAAGTGTTCAACACCATTGCTACTGTTCTCGGCAACGTCACCGGCGCCCAGACCGCCGAGGTTGCGAGCAAGTCTTACGCTGCTCTCACTGAGAGCATCACGGAGCTTATTCCTACTACTCTCCGCCGCCAGTCTGAGTACCTCACTCACCCCGTTTTCAACACCCACCGCAGCGAGACGGAGATTCTCCGCTACATCCACCACCTGCAATCCAAGGATCTCTCTCTGGTTCACTCCATGATCCCTCTCGGCTCTTGCACCATGAAGCTCAACAGCGCCACCGAGATGGCTCTCATCTCCCTGCCCGGATTCTCCACCATCCATCCTCACACTCCCGCCAGCGAGCTCAAGGGCTACACCGCCCTTATTGAGGAACTCTCTGAGCAGCTCAAGGGCATTACTGCTATGGACGCCGTCTCCCTCCAGCCCAACTCCGGTGCTCAGGGTGAGTTCGCCGGTCTCCGTGCCATCCGCAAGTACCTCGAGCAGAAGCCCGACGGCAAGAAGCGCGACATCTGCCTTATTCCCGTCTCCGCCCACGGCACCAACCCCGCCTCCGCCGCCATGGCCGGCATGCGTGTCGTCCCCGTCAAGTGCGACCCCGTCACCGGCAACCTCGTCATTGAGGACCTCGAGGCCAAGTGCAAGCAGTACGCCGACCAGCTCGGTGCTTTCATGGTCACCTACCCCAGCACCTACGGTGTCTACGAGCCCGGCGTCAAGAAGGCCTGCGAGCTTGTTCACCAGTACGGCGGCCAGGTCTACATGGACGGCGCCAACATGAACGCCCAGATCGGCATCTGCTCCCCCGGCGAGATCGGCGCCGACGTCTGCCATCTCAACCTGCACAAGACCTTCTGCATCCCCCACGGCGGTGGCGGCCCCGGCGTCGGACCCATCTGCGTCAAGGAGCACCTCGCCCCGTACCTCCCCGCGCGATCCGCCGACGCCGAGGAGGCCATGGTCTCCAGTGCGCCCTTCGGCAGCGCCGGCATCCTCCCCATCAGCTGGGCCTACAACGCCCTCATGGGCAACGACGGCCTGCGCCTCGCGACCAAGACGGCCATCCTCAACGCCAACTACATCCTCTCCCGCCTCAAGCCGCACTTCAAGATCCTCTACACCAACGAGAACGGCCGCTGCGCGCACGAGTTCATCCTCGACGCGCGGCCCTTTAAGGAGACCGCCGGCGTCGAGGCGATCGACATCGCCAAGCGCCTGCAGGACTACGGCTTCCACGCGCCGACGATGAGCTTCCCCGTCGCGAACACGCTCATGATCGAGCCGACGGAGAGCGAGAGCAAGGAGGAGCTGGACCGCTTCATCGACACGCTGATCAGCATCCGCGAGGAGATCCGCGAGGTCGAGGAGGGCAAGCAGCCGCGCGAGGGCAACGTGCTCAAGATGGCGCCGCACCCGCAGGCGGATGTTATTTTGGGCGATGGCGAGGGCAAGTGGGAGCGTCCGTACTCGCGCGAGAAGGCGGCGTACCCGTTGCCGTTCTTGAGGGAGAAGAAGTTCTGGCCTAGCGTGGGCCGTGTTGACGACAGTGAGTTTCCCCTTGAAGAGGATATGTGAGTGATGGCGGCTAACAAGATGCAGCGTACGGCGACACCAACCTCTTCTGCACGTGCCCTCCTGTCGAGGACACCACCCAGGCGTAAAGCAATGATTGCGCGCATCTCATAGACGTGATACCAGCAGAGAAAGACATAGACCGCCCTGGTTCTATATCATGACTGCATGACGACATCCAAGGATAGGACCCGGGGCGCCGTCGACTAATTCAACATTCGACGGTGCCTTGGAGATTCCATCCGATATACGTTATACATCTGAATATTTCTGATGACTTTTTTTCTTCAACATTTTACATCCCTACAAGCGAGCGGGGATATGAGTTCCTACGATTTCAACAGGGGAAATACATTACATAAGGGGTTATTGGAGGTCCAGTCAAGAGACCTACCGGGAGTTCAACAACACGAGGGAGATATGGGGTTTGCATTATGGGTTACGTGTTGTATTTGGTAGACTGGCATAGGGCCGGAAAATGAAACCATCAAGTTCACTATTCGTGTTCCAACCGTGAGGCGATTGAGACGATCATGCCTCGGATGACATCCGCAACGTCATCGTCAAACTCATATGCCGTATTTCGCCAATAAGAATAGTCTCCAATTCCAGAACTATCGTCGGAACATAATCGCGAGCTGATTTTTCTGGGATTGAGACTTCACCGTGGGTGACATCTCCAAGCTACTGGGCCACCGATCGGGGGCTCGAATCCCACCGGACCCACGTTCCAGCCGGCCTTCCTTATCGGGACGCCGTGCCAACCGCTCAGCAACAAAACATGCGGTCCGGAACCTTGACGTCTTAATCTCAACTTCATTCCCTCATCGCACCGTCACTTCAATTGGGAGCGTTCTCACTCGATCCCCACTCTGTGAAAGGAATAATTGAGTCCCTGGCTGACACTCACACTTCCTGGACGATTTGAGAACCACCCAAGATGGCTCGTCTTGCGGCGTTGGCCCTCACGGGCCTCACGCTCATCGCGCGCCTCACCGCGGCCGTCGCGACGCAGGCCGACATTGAAAACCCCGAGTTCATGACGTTCTCTGTCCCCGAGCACCCCAACCATGCCATTCGAATCAAGGAGCAAAGCGACGAGATCTGCGCCGCTGGGTCGCGGCAGTGGACCGGCTGGTTGGACACCGGCGGCAAACACCTCTTCTTCTGTGAGCTATTTACTCCTCACGCTCATGACACACTTACTGACCGACATGAAAGGGTACTTTGAAAGTCTCAACGACCCCGAAAACGACCCCCTCAGCCTTTGGATGACCGGCGGCCCCGGCGGCAGCGGTCTCGTCGGTAAGTCCCAACCCACACCCATACCAAACTCTCACGAATCTGACATCAACCCCAGGAATGATGCTCGAACTCGGCCCCTGCCTCATCTCCTCCTCCGGCAACTCCACCATCCACAATCGCTACGCCTGGAACTCCAACTCATCCATGATCTTCATCGACCAGCCCGCCGGCACAGGCCTCTCCTACCACGACCCCGGTGTCCCGGGCCCCGCCACCTCCGCCGCCGCCGCCGCCGACATGAACGTCTTCCTGCGCATCTTCTACACCGCCTTCCCGCGCCTGCGCTCTCTGCCCTTCCACATCGTCGGCGAGTCCTACGGCGGGCACTACATCCCCACCCTCGCGGCCGAGATCGTGCGCTACAACACCGAGTCCCCCGCGCCGGAGTTCAAGATCCCGCTGAAGAGCGCCATGATTGGCAACGGGTTCGTCAGTCCGCGGGATACGACATGGGGCTACTACGAGACGCTGTGCACGACGAAGCCCGGCGTGCCGGCGCCCGTGTTCAACGAGAGCTTGTGCGGGCAGATGGCGGCGGCGCTGCCGCGGTGCATGTACCTGCAGGAGGCGTGCTATGCGTTCCCGGACCCGATTGTGTGCGAGGCCGCGGGGGCGTTTTGCTTCGGGCACGTGGACGAGCTGTATTACCGCGACGTGCGCAAGGGCGGGCGGAACCCGTTTGACATCACGGCGCCGTGCGAGACGGAGAGCATATGCTACAAGGCGGGCGACGGGATCGAGGAGTATGTGAAGAGTGATAAGGTGTGGCGGGCGCTGGAGGTGCCTGCGGCGGTGGACCGGGAGAATTTTACTCTGATTTCGATGGATGTGAACCACGCGTTCGAGGTTGCTGGGGACGTGTTTTTGAGCACGGAGAGGGAGGTCAAGTATATACTGGAGAAGGGGGTGGATGTGCTGATTTACAATGGGGATCTGGATTTGGCGTGTAATACGGCGGGGAACATCCGGTGGGCGGAGAAGTTGGCGTGGGATGGGCAGGTTGAGTTTGGGGCGAAGGAGTTTGGGGTGTGGTTTGCGGAGAAGAAGGGTGAGGTTGTGAGGGCGGGGAGGTGGAAGGAGGTTGTGAAGAGGCTTGGGGGCAAGGATACGAGATTTGCGTTTGTGACGGTGGAGGGGAGCGGGCATATGGTGCCGTTGAACCAGCCTGAGGTCGGGTTGGAGATGGTGAGGAAGTGGATGTTTGGGAGCTTTGAGGACGCGGCGAAGGGGGGCGTTGAAGTCAAGGTTGGCGGACAGGGCAGAGAGGAGCAATGGTCTTTGGAGCTGTAAAGAGATTGATGTTCTGTTAGTCTGAGACTGGAAGTTGACGATGTTGAGATGACGGATGGTTTTGTTAGTGGCTCAGATGGCTCAGAATGTATCATGAGAGTCGGCCCATGACACCTGACGTTAATAGAGAAGCAGGATTTGATGGGCAGACAACGCTGATGCGATTCATCAGATCGGCTTTTGGAAACAGACTGAATGCCAAACATTGGTGCCTTGATTGCGCGTCGACGTGATTAACACTGCCTCATGAATCAAAATAACACATCTGGGATATTCTGGTGACTGGCCATGTGGAAGCGATTGAAAGCAGGAACGAAAGCATCTCGACCGTTTTCATGTCCTCGGATCACGATCCGACAACCTTTGGTGTCACCTGAGGCCATGGTGGTTCTCAGAATTGTTCCAGCGAAGTCGACATCAGTCATGTGTATGTCATCTCAATAGCTATCAGCGAGATTGCTAGGATCGAGTATCACAGGTTGGAAAGGTTGGCTTAAAGTATGACTGTCAGCCTTGCACGGGCGGTTTATACGTCCGTTGGCTCGAAGGGCCAAGACGTCTTACATGTTGGTCCTCTGCATGTCATCATCAGATGTGGAAGGTATCTACCGGTGACTTGAGTTGCGACGGCAGCATTGGGGCAACGGTTAATGATCCTTCACTTGTAAGAACTCGGGATATCAGATGCGTGCCATATGGCGACCCGGAAAACGACTTGAACGGGGCCGCCCGAGTTCCGGGGGAAAGGGTGTGGTGATTGGCCTTGATACGGTGATTGTCGGGTTGCAAAAGTACTCCGCCGACGTAAGAGTGGCATCGTCGATATTGCCAGCTCATTGCTGGGTAGTTGGTCCACCGCAGTGGAGGTGCGGATCTTGGCTGAGAGTCCTGCTGGATCAGTCGGCTGCTGAACAGTGAAGAGACTCTGGGATAAAGACTCTTATCAATCAGTCGGCGAACAAGCAACTGGTCGAGGTCTGTTCAAATCGCAGTGCAAATGCTGCCCAGCCCAGGATAGGGTGGGTGGCTTGACTTGATGGCTGAGTTGACGGGAGAAGTCCGACGGCGGTTTCTCAAGCAGGCGGAATTGAATTCGACAGTCGGTCAGCCGTTGCCAAGACATCCGAGTGAGTGAGGGTTGGTCTCGAAGGATTTGGAAGGAGCAAAATCCCTGTCGCTTTAGCGTCTTCAGCCGACCCACTAATAATTGTTCGAGACCCACTCCCACGAGCTGGGGTGCACGGGCGCCTCGAGCAGTGAACGAACGGCAGGCACAGGACACTTTTGGGGCGGTTGCCGCTTGAGAGATGGGCAGGACGGATGAGGCGGGAGTGCCTGAACTGGACATCCTCTGGATGCTTCAACTTCACCCGATGCTTGATCAAGGGAGACGTCGACAGCAACAACAGCAACGGACAGACGGCATGATTGAGATTGAGGCGCCTCTATGGCGGAAGCCATGCTATCAAGAAACATCTTTTCCTGTTCATCTCGTCATCAAGGATGAGCCATGCCATGCCCTGCATGTCCTTGAGCCATAGTCCTCCACCGCGGGCATCCTCCCAGCTCGACAATTCAAAGTCAATTGGACACGCCGCCGCTCACGTTACACGAGCCAGTAGGTGGCGCCCGCGTCTGGACGCCGTCAGATGGGACTGCGGTCCGCGGATGCCCTCCCAGGTCCAGAGCTGGTTCCGACGTCGTGGGAGCAGCGTTGTAGGGCTAAGGAAGAAACCCTCGACCACCAAAAGCGTCGCCTTTGACCATTGCAACTGGCCAAAAGTCTACGGACTTTGACTCTGCATACAGAAGTCGGACCTATCAAGCTCGCCAACATCAAGACGAACTTGTATGCCCTCGCGCGGGCGCTTCAACGACCTGACATCCCCCATCCAGCCAGTCACCACCGCCTATGGACCCTTCGCCGCTGTCATGCATCCCAGCGAATCCTTCAACCGTTTTTCTCCATCATTCAGCCCTGTCGAGATGCGTCTGTCGCTCTCAGTATCAATTTGGCCATGTTGCCGAAACCAATGGACTACGGAACCAGAGGCATTTGTTTAGGTCAGTCTCGTTTTGCTAAGATGAGCTCTGCTGTCTCTTCATTGCAGCGAGCCAGGATCAAGGCCCTTGCATCCCAGCACACCAACCTGATAAGGCCAAGGCTTAAGCTCACCAGCAGCAGCACGCGAAGTTGAGGGAACACGAGAGACTGGTTCGTTGCAACACAACCAGAACCATTCAGACGGCTTGAACTCCCACCCTCGTCAATTCCATGCTTTCTCTCCAGGGCCCATACCCACAGTCCGGGGATAATTTCTGCGCGCCTTCTTCCACCCAACAGTCCCCATAGAGCTTCCAACCCCTGTTGCTCTGCGGTTCTGGACCCCTTTATGGCGCCGACCCTCCGATGCTCCCCTGGGATTCTGCCGGTTCTTCTTTCGCGCCATCTGCTGTGAAAGAGCAGAACCGTCTCCCCCGAAGACCCATCAAGTCTATCGGCATTGGAGGGAAGCGAGAATTGGCCTGGATTTCTCGCAGTCAATCCCCGCTTGCTTTTTCCATCTCAAAGATCTTCCATCCTTCGCTTCCACTTTCAGTCTCCCAGAGTTCATCCCAAAACCAGCAAAAAGCTGCTGCCTGCCAACAAGTGGACGTGATTTTCCCGACATCGCCTCAAGACATACCACGGCGTCGGTTCCGAACCGCACCTAGTGGCACGGCTCCGCAGCCATCGGCGCGCTTCGAGACCCCAAGTCGCATACAGGACTAGACTTCTGTGTGCGGACCGTCTTGTCCTAGCTCCTCGACTACCCCGTCTCGCGTATCGGGTCCCGTCTGTTGTGTTGCACTTCTCTGGTCCCTGACCCCGCGATCCTACACGGTCGCCGCCTGCCATGGCGGCCACCGCGACATCGTCCTCATCGTCGACGGCAACGAGTACCTACAGCAGCGTTGTCGTCACCAGCTTCCCCTTCAATCCTTTGACTACCCAATTCGTGGCGCCGACGTACTGTAGTGGCATTTACAATGGAGCCGTCTACATGGTTGACCCCCAAGAAAATTGTCTGCCCACGAGCCATTCGAAAGACGAGACAGCATACTACTCACCTGGATATGTCTGTCCTGAAGGGTACATGACGGCCAGAGTCGACAACAAGGGCGTTCACAGCATCACGACAGTGACTTGCTGTCCTTATCGCAGCGATATCATCCTCTCGGCGGTCGACCCTGCCACGCTCTCTGGCCAGTGGATTGGGCTCTTCTGCACATGGATCGCGCCGGAGGGCACGCGCATCGATATCGTGCACACCGCCGATACGAGCACGTGGATTGAGCAAGAGTATGTCACTTCCCCGGGCGGTGTCAACGCCTTCGGCGTCCGCATGGTCTACCAGTCGACCGACATTGCTTCAGCGACAGCGACAGCCACGGTCTCCGCTACGAGCACTGGCAACGTGACTGCGCCTCAAGAAACCTCATCGCCGGGACTATCCACTGGAGCATCCATTGCCATTGCGGCTGTCGTCCCAGTTGTCGTTCTAGGCCTGATTGCTGGCGCGCTTTTCTGGTGGTGGAGGAAACGCCAGGCGTCCAAGTACAACCACGTAAACGGCAGCGGAACGCCTCAGGGCGCAAATGGAATGCCTCCCGCAAACCCCATGCAGCAGCAAGTTCACGAGGCACCGTCAGTGCAGCAGTACCAAGACCCAAACGCGTATCAACAACACCAGCATCCGCCTATGCAGACGATGCCCTCCACACAGTCCTTCCCTTCGACATACCCGTCATCAACAGCGGCACCATCCAATCAATCGCCCACCGTTCCATTCTCTCAGCAGTATGGCCACAATGGGACGTACACCAGCTACGCGGGATACAAGCCTCCGGGGGCGACGGAGGAAAACCTAGCACCGGGGCAGACGTTCACATCGGAGCTCCCGGCTCCCTTGCCGAGAGAACTCCCGGAAGACCGACCGAGCCACACGCCCTCAGGACAACATATTGACCACCAGAAGATGATGGGCATACCAAAGTGAAGGAGACATTAGCGGTGGCTGGTTTAAGCATTTGGCGGAGTACTCGGCATTTTTTCTGCGGGACGGCGCGGCGTTTGGGGCGCCGTGTCTATCCATCTTGCCAGGACCGATCCAGGCACATGTTTTCCACATTTACACAGCGTTGCGCGCAATGCTTATTACAGTAGCATCCGAGGCAAACACGCCGAATTGAACGACTAATAATCAGACATACTCTCTTCAAACCCCACTTTGTGTGCAGTCCTCCGGTCGCTGCGTTCGAGACGGCTGACAGGCGACGAAAACCCGTTTGGATGATCTGCCGCGATGCCGCCTATCCGTCTCACCATCAGCACCAAAATACTTGCGCCTTGCTGGGCTGGCAAGGGATGTGGCTGAGCCGTGGAAAGCTTAGCTTGTTCCACGCAAATGTATCGGCTACTTAGTGCTGACACCTCATCAAGCCACCCAGCTCGTAGCGAGGACTTGATTGAGTACAAACGAAAGTAGTTGGGGCTTTCCGTCTAGCTATTTCAACGCTAGATTGCACTGCTGGTGGCCAAAGGAGCCAAGTCATTGTCATATTCACAGACCAGCCGACGGGCTATGGATTTCTGAAGCAGTCGAGCCTGGCACAGCCATCCCGTCATTACAACCGCCACCTGCCTTCTCTTCTTATTCTTCAACCCCAATGCTGCTCGACCTCGTCTTCTCAATGCTTCAATTTGAAGAAAAAGCAACAAAATTGCATCTATCCCTTCATTATCAGGTAGCGCCGGATCTCAATGTGGCCAATCAGACAATGAGACGTGAGGGCTAGCGAGGTCTTCTCGGATCGCACAGGGAAGACGAGCCCAAAAGTCTCACACGCCCCTTTGCACTGCAGATGGTTGTCTGAGAAGTTTCCAGGAATCAGGACTGCCTACCAAGGAGTAGTAATATGACGGCCTCGACCCCCTGGCGAAGGATTCGCGAATGGTGCGCTGCGGCGGCGATGGCCCTTGGTCCCATCCATTCTTAGCGTCGCGTTTCCTTAGTGTACGAATGTCCCTTTGGCGTCTGCCTACGAGCGGATCCTCTCAAGCATGGGATCGTCATTGGACTTTCGAGCCAGTATGAGTGGCTGGCCAGGACGGAGGGAGTGAGGGCAAAGAGCAAGACTAGTTCGAGCGAAGGATTCGTCAAAACTAGTTTGAATCCTAATAGCCCTGTTCTTCTGTTCAATCCAAGCTTCTTCCTTTCCCCTTCTTTTTTCTCTGCTTTTCTTGCTTCTGCGACTAATACCCGACTAGACTTGTTTGCTGTCACTTTCCGAATTGCTTCGCTCTCATGTCATCAACGCATTAGAATCCACAAAACAACCTCATCACATTCACACGGGGACCCATAAACGGCACAGGGATTCCCCATACGAAGCTCCCAAAGTCTTTTCGATCGGGCAAGCCCTCCTTAGTTCCATTGCAACAAAATCATCACACAATGGCGGCGGCAACATCAACCTCGAAAACGCGCTACGTCGCCTCGACCTTCCCCGAAAACCCCCTTCCGACGCAGAACTTTGACCCGCCGGCCTCCTGCTCCGGCGTGTACTGGACAAACTCCGTTTTCGCGATTGACAACGACCCGGCCTGCTTGCCGAACAAGTTTAACGGCGCCAGCACCGCCTTCTACTCCCCCGGCACTGCCTGTCCGACGGGCTATACCGCGCAGCCGCAGTGCTCCCGGAACAACGGCGTGCGCAGCATCACGACCGTGACGTGCTGCCCGCACCGCGGCGACATCACGCTGTCATGCGTGGAGAACGACCTGACGTTGGCGGAAAGGTGGGAGACGCAGTTTTGCACGTGGATGGCGGGCCCGGCGACGGTGGTGGAGTATACCCTCGTCTCGGACGGAAGCACGTCGAGCGCGGCGGCGACGATGAGTGATCGCGACGGCATCAACGCGTATGGCATCCGGATGGTGTACCAAGCGAGCGATCTAGTGTCAAACACTGCGTCGGCGACGGCCACGGGCACTGACAGTGGGGCTGGGACAACGGGCACCAGCGACGGTAGCGGCGGCAGCAGCAGCGACTCCTCTACGAGTAACGGGCTTTCGACAGGGGGCATCGTCGCCGTGGCGGTCGTCGTTCCAGTCGTTGTCATCGCGATACTTGCAGGTCTGTTCCTATGCTGGAGGCGGCGGAAGCACAAGTATGCGGGCGTGCAGCAGACGCAGCCCGGGCCAGACGGGCAGACGCCGCCTCAGCAGAGCGCGTACGCGTACCAGAACAGCAACTACCAGGGCAGCAGCTACGCGCCGAGCGAGATGGCGGGAGGCAGCGTCGCGGGGTATTACCAGAACGACAAGGTGCTGCAGCCGGGGCAAGGGGTCGCGGGGCAGCAGTTTAAGGGGTACCCGCACCAGACGCCGGCTGCGCCTGCTGAATTGCCGGTGGGAGAGGCGCCGGCGGAGTTGGATGCTAGCGGAGGTAATGGGAGGTAGTTGGCAGAAGGGCTTTTAATAACGAGAGTAATTTCGAGGTGGATATATCATGGTCCTTGGTGAGCTCGTTGGGGGACTTTTCAGACAGCATTCAGATGGGCATGTAGGCGACTAGCGGGAGTTGAAGAGGGTGATCGGGGTTTTGTTTCACAACTTCTTCGCGAATGACACGTTCAGTAGAAGCATTTAAATGACACGATCAACTATGATAAGAGAAATAATACTCATCAAATCTATATTGAGACACGACTTTCGATGAGGGCTGAACTAGAAGCTTCAGTCAGTGCATCATCATCTCTTTGGCCGTGTGGTAGCAAGCGATGATCCGGGCTAGCCCAAAGTCTCCAGGATATTTCATAACTCTGTTGGTCGAGGAAGTGGTCGGAAGAATGGTTGTAAGCTGAAAGTACGCATCGGACAATCACACCGACCAAGCTCCGTGCCGCCGACGTCCGGGGCAGCATCCCCCCGAACGATGCCCCCAGCGTCACCGGGCCCACACCGCCTGCGCTTCCTGGACAAATTTTACCCCGCCACCCCGCCATCCAAGCTGCAAAAAACTTCACCTCTGCGCTGCTGCCGACCCTGCTTATCAAGCACGCAGAACTTCCTCGACGCATTAATAAACCACATTCTCTGGTTTCTGCGCTTCCTTTTAATATCCAGATACCCAGCGCGAGCGACAGTTCTTTCTGAGAGTCGACAAGCGCATCCTATCCAGCGCAATCCGCTTCAGCGCAATCCCATCGAAATAAACCAAAACCGACCGAAAGAAAAGCCCAAAATGTCCGGCCACAACGACGACCACGAGGAGCCCGAGATGCTCGGCGCTGACGAGGTCGGTGAGGAGGTCAACATCGACAACGACGACGTCGCCATGGACTCGGACGACGACAACGAAGAAATCACCCTCCACAACGACTCCGTCGCCTACTTCGACGCCCACAAGGACTCCGTCTTCACCATCGCCCAGCACCCCATCCACCCGACCATCATCGCGACCGGCGGCTCCGAAGGCGACTCCGACGACGCCCCCGGCAAGGGCTACCTCCTCTCGACCGCCGCCGCCGCCTCGCGCCCCGTCCTCCCCGCCTCCTTCTCCGGCGAGACCCCGCAGCAGAGCACCAGCCTCGACGCAATCTACCCGATCGACGGCCACACGGACAGCATCAACGCGATGGCCTTCACCCTCCCCAAGGGCGACTTCCTCGTCAGCGGCGGCATGGACGGCAAGCTGCGCGTGCACGCCGTGCGCGTCAACTCGCCCACCGCCGAGGCCGCGAGCGTGCAGATCAAGTTCATCGCCGAGGCGCAGGAGGTCCCCGAGATCAACTGGATCGCGCCGTGCCCGTCGCCGCAGTACCCCAACACCATCGCCCTCGGCGCCAGCGACAACTCCGTCTGGGTGTACACCATCGACATCGCGGCCGGCGGCGGCGACCCCGCCAACTGCCTGCAGCTCGTGCAGACCTACTGGCTGCACCAGGCGCCCTGCACCGCGGGCGCGTGGACCCCCGACGGCAGCCTGCTGTGCACCGTCGCCGAGGACTCGAGCCTGTATGTCTGGGACGTGTGGGGCGAGGCGGCGGCCAAGGGGCTGGTCGAGAGCAACGGGCAGACGACGGTGAGCATGACGGCGCAGGACCAGCGGTTCGAGGTCGAAGGCGGGCTCTACAGCGTGGCGGTGGACCCCAAGGGCGCGCTTGTCGCCGTCGGCGGCGCGGGCGGCGCGATCCGCATCGTCAGCCTGCCGCGGCTCGCGAGCAGCGCGCAGGCGGGCAAGGGCGGCAAGAGCAAGACGGCGGCGGACGTAGCGGCGGGCGGGCAGATCCTGGCGAGTCTGCAGACGGCGTCGGACGGCATCGAGACGCTGAGCTTCACGGTCGCGGCGGGCGGGCCGGGGCAGGCGTCGACGCTGCTTGCGGCGGGCTCGGTGGACGGCAGTATCGCGGTGTTTGATGCCGGCAGGAGGTTTGCTGTGAGGAGGAGCTTGCCCGGCGCGCACGAGGATTTCAGCGTCGTCAAGGTGGAGTTCGTCAAGAACTCGTGGCTGCTGACGAGTTGCGGCATGGACGGTGTTGTGAGGAGGTGGGATCTGAGGGCGGCGGACGCCGGGTTGGTGAAGGAGTGGAAGGGACACATGGGTGGTGGCGAGGGCGGTGGTGTGTTGGGATTCGTGCAGGGTGAGACCGGGGAGAGGGTCGTTACTGCTGGCGATGATGGTGTTGTTCTTGTTTTTGAGGCTTAGAGGGGGTGTGTGTTGGGTGGAGGATTGAATATGGTTTCTTTATGAGGGGATAGACAAAAATGGGGTGGTATGATACCGCGATGATGCGGAATGATTTGCTGGACCAGATAGGTTCTGATGAAATGACATTCACGTTTAACTAACAAAGGACGTTGTTTCTTGAAAGGCTTTGTGTGAGAACCAAGGTGGTTTTGTATGGAATGGTTGAGATTGGACAGTGAGACATGGTCCTTTGAGTTCGTCTGATGGGGTGCGGGACTTAAAACGGACGATTTGCGACTTTGGCAAGATCTCATCGCTAATCTTCACCCTCACCATCACTTGCAAAAAGTTTGTCTTTCCATACGTCACTCGATAGAAGAACGGCATCGCATTGTCGGCCACCCGCGAACGACTGCCAAATGACCCAGTTTCAATGGGACCAGATCCTCGGGCTCACCTTGATGGTCTGCGGGATCATCCAGTTTCCACGAATCTGCTTCTGTCTGGCAATATCCTGGTTATCCTGGAAGACCGTCGTTGTGTGTAGGTTTCTCGAATCACTGCGCCCGGCAGCGCGTGATCACGCATGAGATGTTAACGCTGGGTGTTTAGGGTATGCTGTGCTAGGCATTTATCCATTCTTGGAGAACATTGCGGGACCCTTTACGCGGGCGTTACTGTTGGACCCATGGAAAGCTGGGTAGGGTCTAGTGGGTAGCATGATCATGGACAGGCAATCCAACGCATTTGAATGAGAGCTTGTGAGCTCATGTAAGGCACGCTCAATGAAGATAACGACCGCATGTATCATAGCTTTAATCGTTCGTACGAGTAATTAGAGATTGATTTATTAGGCTTCATATCTCATTAGACTACCTCATGTAGTCACCACTGAGTCAATTTTCCCCTTCACTGGGACTATTGTAGTGGTATAGCACCATCCTCTCTCCATTCATTCATTACTACCAACCAGGGGCACTCGATAGGTGCGCTTAGTTGGAGCGACCACCCTGGCCAACGTTATCGCCCTTGGCGAGACCCTGGCTCTGGCCTCCGCTGGCGTCCTTGCCGTCAATGGCAAGGCCCTTCTCGATCTCGGGCATGGGGGCGGTCTTGTCGGCGCGGTCGACGTGAGGGTCCTATGACAACCTGTTAGTATTGAGATTCAAGGTAGGAAGCTGCACCAGGTGCGGCGTACCTTGATGGCACCAGCGCCGTGGACGATGTCGTGGCCGGCCTCAACGGCGTTGTCAGAGGCACCAGATCCGTCGCGAGGCATGATGATTGGTTTTGTTGATGTGTATGAAGTTGTGGTAAGTGTAAGATGGCTGAGGTGATGCTTTCGGAAGCTGTTCGTTTTTTTGTTGTTGAATGTGAAGGTTCGTCTTGATTGAATACGGATTGTCTTGGGAAGGGGCTGAAGGAGTAGTTTATAAAGATGACTGAGCCCACCTCGAGCTCCTAGAGCTCTGATATCGAATTGACGTCACGCAGGGAAGGTGCAAGTGCCTCCCGGGTACCTGCCGCCGTCGAGCTCACCCCCTTGTAAACGTCATTGATGGTGGGGCAAGCCCCGCCACGGTCTCCGCCCCGCGATGTCAGATCGCAGATCTTAGGTGGGATGGCCCGGAGGAAACGCCCCGCGTTGCGTGGTCAGACTTGCTTGGCCACTCTCACTTGAGAAAGCAATGAGGTGGCTTGGTCACGAGATTGTCTATGTATGGGTCCAGAAACTCTTTGAAGCCTTATTTTCATTCTGTTGTTCCTGTTTTTCATCGTGAACGTTGTGGGCTGGCCCGCTTGGCATCCGTGCTGGAGGGGCCGCTCGGATGATGACGACAGTGGTAGGCGGCTTGCTTTGGGCATTTACATACTTTGCAACTGATTGGTGTTGGGAAACATGACGCTTCATTTTGGGAGCATATCACGATGCTTTCCGGTCAGCTGCCTGTTGGTTTCAGACAGCCCACAGGGTCGCTGGAAATGTCTTCTTTCTGGCTGCTGTTGTTCAGGCACATCTACGGATTAAAACAACCCAAGAACATACACTCAAATTACGCAGAAACTTCCTGATCCAGAGATGTTTACAAACTAAACAACAATTGTTAACTTCAATAAGAGTATCTGTACAAATCCCTCAATTGAATGATCCCACACCTTTGATGCTGGCCATCTCAGCCAGGCTACCGAAGCACCATAACCAAAGCCGGGCGCAGAGATCAGCACGATCCCCTCTTCTTCACTCTGACGAAAAAGTCTCGAGGCTTTACGAACCAGTAATTGGTGCATTTCCAGTCATCCTCCTTCTCCAGTATCAAATCGAAGTTCTGCACGACTCTGGGAATGGCTTTCGACACCTCCAGCAAGCTGATGTTTTTGCCGATGCAGGTGCGCGAGCCCTGGCCGAACTTGAGTCTTTGTCAGCTTCGCGTTCAACTATGTGAGGTCCTTCAAGATTTCACTTACGGCGAAGAAGTATGATTCCATGGCGCTCTTTTGCTCCTTGCTTGAGTCAATCCATCGCTCCGGCCTGAAGTCGTCCGCATCATGACCAAAAACTTCCTTATTGTGATGCGCGATCCAGGCATTGATTCCCACTACATTCTGCGATAATGTTAGCATAACTGTCCATTCAACGAGTGTTACATCAACCACTCACTCCTGCAGGAAAGAAGGCTCCTGCCAGTTGTCTACCACCCTCAGGCACCACACGAGGCATGGTGAGTCCGGTGGCAGGGTGCAGTCGGAGGCTTTCCTTAATGACAGCCTGAAGGTAAGGTAATGCCTGGGCTTCCCTGAAAGTGATCGGGTTCGAGATCGATCCCTCCGCCTCGGCATTGTCCAGTTCTTTACGCAGCTTTTCCAATGTCCCCGAGTTTCTGCAGAGGTAGTACATGATGGCGCTGAGGGAGATCGCCGTCGTATCCGATCCAGCGCCAACATTGGTGCTTGCAGCTGTCTGAATGGACGCGTCGTCGATAAGTTCGGGCCGCTCCTTCTGAGTCTGAAGGAGCTTGGAAATGAAATCCTGAGGTCCCTCTTTGGGCTTCTCTTCCACCCGGCTGGCAGCGACTTGATCTCGTGAAAACTTGACTATATATGCGTTCCCTCTTGGCTCCTTACCTGATCCAAGGTGCATGAGAACGCTGAATAGATAGGGGTACACGCGCGGATAAACACCGGTTAGGGTGCTGACCGTCAGGACTTCGTCTAGCGCCTTGATGACTCCCTGTGGATCTCCCCCGTCGTCTAGACACCCGAAGCGCTTGGAGAACTACACTTGATTAGTATGCCTTAATTCCACTATTACAATGTCATGTCTGCCTCACCGTAATCTTGCCAATGACATCTAGAGCGTAGCACTGGAACCAGTGTCCAAGATCAATCACGCGACCCTCGTCAGAAATTTCGGAAAATCGCTGAGCAAAGATGTCGGTGCACTCGTCGACGTATGGCTCGTACGAGACCATGTTGGACATGGAGTAGACGTTGGCGACTTGTCGGCGCATGGCGGAGTGGACTTTCGGATTCAACTCGTTGAAGAGATTGCTCAGAGCAGGATTGCCCCATGGCAGGTACCACTCATTCTGGAGAAGAAGTCAATCTGTTAGCCCTAGCTGAAATTCGGTTCCCAATGTAAGAAGCGTTTACCTTGGCAAAATGGCTACCGTGGCCGTAGATGGTTTTGGCTGCGTCGAGACTGTCGATGCTGTACTGTCCAGGGGCAATCCTAACGATGGGACCTGAATATCCATTGTATCAGTAGACATACACTTCGTAATGAGACTGATTGAGGCCGCCGAAATTCCCACTGTCTACGCCGCCACAATTCCTGAGTGCTTATGGATTTGGAGTTTCACTTCGACCGAGGACGGTAGTAAGTACAAGCATAAGAGACGACGACGATGACAGCGAGAATATCGGAGAATAGGGCTTCTCAAATAATCAGGGGTTGAAGTACCGTATTTCTCGTGCAACCTCCTGTCCGTCTTCTCGTAGTCGGCGCGGTAGTATTGGCGAAACAGCCACAGCCGAGTAAATCTCGCAAGGAACGGACCCGGGATGTGTCTAAGAGGATCTCGAACGGCAGAGATGATTCGATAAAGAAGGACTGCAAATGCTGCGAAAGGAATCGCCCACCACAATGGCGGCAGTGGTCTGCCTTCCAAGCCGTGAATTGGTAGAATCATGGTGTAAGTTTTGGTTTGGAAGTAAATTCAAGACTGCATGAACTGCCAGCCCAACAACAACGGCTGACAGGAGTCATTATATCTGCCATCCAAGTGTTGAAACTATAGCGCTCGGGAAGAATCATTCGATAATCTGGGGAGAGATCGTGGGGCAGATCTCGGCGTCGGCACTTACACATTTCCCTAACGCCCCGCCACCATCCCGATGGGGTGCCGCGAGCGCGGCGCGCGGGTTCCCCACCCCCACAACATCTCCCGAAAGCCGCACCAGCATGATTCATTAACAAACAGGTTGAGAATCATCGTGACCTTGATTGGTTTGATGGGGCCATACTCTGCCTAATGACTGGATCGCGTGCATGAAACAAGATGCAGCGGCTCCCGCCATGCAGAGCAACGGTCTGGTCGACCTCGGAGTCCGTCCCTTCTTGGCCGGCCGTCAATAACAATCGAGCATCGCGATGCCAACCTCCACCACACCGGAATGAAAGATGATGATCGCCCGGGATGACGGGAACTAAGTGGGTCTTCCGACTGACTAGTGGCCTCGACCAGTTCCAACGTCTGGCGTCGAAGACTATTTGTCCCTTCTTCACCTCCACACGATCTCCCGAAACCGTTCACAACATGAACGGCGATTCTCGCAGCCTGCGTTGCAGGTATTGCGACGAGGCGTTCAAGAGGAAGGAGCATCTCGACCGCCATCTCCGACGTCATCTGGGTTCAAAACCGTTCCAATGTACGGTCTGCCTGAAAGCCTTCTCTCGAAAGTATGTCGCGTCTAGATTTCTTCGAGGATATGGCTGACTTGAATCTTTTAGGGATGTCCTCAATCGACATCTAACAACCCATGACTTGAATTCCGCAATCTCTTCATCACCAAGACGCCCCGGAAAGAAACCCCAAGCATGTCTCTCTTGTTCAAGGGCAAAACAACGGTGCTCCAAAGGCAACCCTTGTCGCTCATGCGCAAGCAAGGGAAGAATCTGCCGTTACCCGTCCGATGGGGTACCTTCCGATGGGGTAACAACCCCAGACGGCCAATCTGACGGCTCCGAGACACCGGCAGTTGACGCCGGGGATCAACGCACTTTGCCCAACGCGTCCTCCTGTGATGCAACGGCGCCAATGCCGACAGACGCCGAATACGGACGCCTCATAACGTTGAACGAGACTGGGCCGAGCCTCAACGCCGACGTCATCCCGATGCCAAGCTATAGCATTCGTACAGCAGAACATTCAGGGCAGCCTGTCAACATAGTGTCCGAGTTTGACACGTTTTCTGCCTCCATGAATCCCACCGGGGTCGAGGGAGCTCAAGCCTGGAACTCGGCTTTCGTCTCCTTCAATCAGCCTTTCCCATGGTCTTTCACCGAAAATCTGTTCAACCACGAGCTCCCTGGATCTGTGCCATCGTCCGTTTTGAATAGCAACGGTGTATTTTCTCAGGGGGGAGCACCGGCCGTCTCCAGATACATTGATCCCATCGACGGACTTGGTCCTAGCCCGGGCGGAAAGCCCTGTGCTTCTTGCGAGGACATTCCCCCATTCCCATCACTGGAACTGTACGACGAGGATACTCTACTCGCAGAGGACTTTCGTCATGTCAGCAAAATTAATGGCTACGAGAGACTGGCTCAGTTTTTCCAGGAGCAGAGCCCGTCCGGAGACCAAGTGTTCCCCGAAGCGAGAGTGATTCATACCTTCGTCCAACTCTACTATGAGCATTTTGACTTTCAATTTCCTTTCATTCATCCAGCGATGATTGAGACTGGCGACGAGTCGTGGGTCTCTGTGCTTGCCGTTGCGTCGATTGGCTCACAGTACTCCTCCATCTCAAACTCCGAGCAGTACTCCAAAGGGCTCCAAGAACTTCTTGGTAGAGCCGTGGCCGTCTACGTAAGTCGACACGCACGACTGGCGTTCGTGCTAACCAGGAGCAGAAACCAGAGCCTCACCGAACTCCGAGTCTGCACATAGTCCAGGGCACGCTGATAAGCCTGGTTTGTTTACAGTTCTCGGGATCCCAACGGGGTTCCATGAGAGCACAGTGGCAAAGGAGCCAGTTGATATCCCTGTGTCGTTTCGTGGTAAGTTTCCAGCGTGGCGGGGCTAGCGGACTGGAACCCGCCGCAGACCACGAACAAGATTGGAGAGGGTGGCTTGCCGCCGAGTCGCGAGTTCGACTGGTCCATTGCCTTTACAGTCAGTAGGCACTCCTCCAGTCGGACCCAGACACTCGATGCTCACAGTACTTCGCAGAACTCGAGTGCCTTCAGCTCAGTTTCTTGAGCTTGCCGCCGATTTACAAGCTTCATGAACTCACGGATAGGTTCCCTGCACATGAACTTGTCTGGAAGTGCCGCGACGCCGAAAGATGGCGAATCGAAAGTCGGTGCCCAGAAGGTAGTACTGTCGTACCCAGACTCATTAAGCATTTTACTAAGAACCCGGCAGTACGTGCAGCAGGCCGCATCGGACTAGATCTCTCAAACAAGCATGACGTAGTCACGAAGATGGGATCCTTCGCCCGCCAAATGCACATGCTTAGCCTCTACACAGAAGAGAAGTTCCTACACTACCAGCTATCATCCCCGATATGGAAGACGCTGATGGCGGGGATGTCGAATCCTGTCGATACTCAGCCAAATATCAACACTCTGCTGACGAACGCAGCGACATCCGTGAACGATGCGTTTGAAACGCTGCGAGGCATAGATATTTCTAGATCGGAATCACCAGAGAGCGACGCATTGCTCACGTACTATCACGTCCTGTCCATCCTGCGGCAGGTGCCGCTTCGGAAGCTGTACGAGTTCTCTGGTTGGCAGGTGACCGAGCCTCAAATCGAAGCGGCGAGAGAATATCTCCAGAAGTGGATGCGAAACAAACCCTCGCATGCCCGGAAATGTCTCTGGCATGCGGCGGTGGTTTTCAAGATCCTTCGAAACAAGAAACACTTTTCGTGCGACAGCCCTTTTTGTATGTTGGTGGTCGCTCTTTACATCTGGGCTTTTGACCAGTTTGCGCAAATCAAGGAGAACATGTCGCCTAGTGATGCGGTCAATTGCGTTGGGACGGATCGGCCAACGAGGGTTGATCTGCTGCAGGATGAAAAGGAATTAGAAGAGTGGCTGGAAAATGGAAGCTCGAGTGTTCACATCACGGGTGTAGGGGTCCTGAAGAGCACTAAGAGTGGTGCTCGGATGATCTCCGAGTGTCGAAGGATTCTCCTGTCTGCCAGTGGCTGGTCGCCATTGTGTAGTTTCTTAGCTGGCGCTTGGGAACGGGTCTCTGGGGGTGGTCGACCACACGATTGGAGTGAAGCGTAACAATTGTAGGATTTACGAAAAAGCCACTCGCCGATTACTTCGGGCTGATCAATGAGGTTCAAGCTTTAGTTGAACTCAAAGAGCTGCTGGCTAACCAACCGGTCCCTGTCAAAGGGTCTTGGATCCGTGCATGCCACACCCTGTAGTCGGACATTTTCCCATCTGAGAATAGTCTTCAATCCTTCTTGGAGTTGATGTCTTTAAATACAGAATCGGCGCACTAAGCCCTACAGCCCATAGCAACGGTGGTTGGGTTAGTGTGAAAAGGTTGTAAAGAGTGTGTGGTTCTAGTGCTTGATGCCCAGTCCCTTGCGTCGCGAAAGTCACAGAGCATGGACATCAATACAATCCAAAGTTGATGACTACCAAGATGGTGCGACGATGACAGTTGCCATAGAGTTGCTTCATAGTTCCGCTCGTTCTACCGTCCATGTTTGACGAGGTATCAGGCGGTATATAAAGTCTGGCGCCCCTCTTTCGTTGAACTGTGGTCCTTCACGCCATCTCAGTCAGCCCATTGCGTTCCAATCCCGCATCAACTCCATTCACTTACTCCATATATAATCATGGGTAAAGATTGCCAAAAGTCGCCGGTGAAGACGGCGTTGAAGTGCTTCGTCGGTGCATGGGGCTTCATTAACTCGACGCTGGTGTAAGTCTCATTCGTTTACCCCAATTCACTGTCGCTAACAAAAGTACTGCAGCAACACCACGTCTGGCGATATCATCACCCAGGACTGGGCCTACCCCGTCCCCTCCGGCATGTCTCTGTTCACGCCTAATGGCTACACTGCGTTGCTGGTCACCGCAAACGACACAACTCGACCCGACCTCCGACCGCAGGGGCTTGACCAAAGCAACCCAAGCTCCTCGCCTGATTCAGAGTGGGCCAAAATTGGCAAGTACAGCGTCGCTGGCGCTGGGCCTTTCCATCTGTCCAACGTGACTGGCGAGAAGGGCTCCGAGGGTCCAGAGGGTGTGCAAACCGGAGAGTTCCTGACGTCTACGCTCCCGGCTCGCCTTGGTCCTTACGAGTTCACCTTCAAGTTTTACAACGACTGCGCTGCTTGGAACCTTCATCAGGATGTTGGGGCTGGGCTTCAGAGGGTTGCATGGTACTACAGGCTGCCTGATCAGGATGAGGATTAAATTCCTTAAGAACGAAAAGGCGATCTTGAATAAGTACGATTGTCAAATGATTTTGCTTGAACTCTTGGAATATGGCCACCAGAAGCGTGTATTACTTTTCGCCGATAGTCCTGTTCTCTTACTTGGACGGATACGGACAATAAAGACGATGGATGGATCATAGGGGTGAGGGGAGACAATAGGGACAAATTAGAACAGAGACGTCGGGGGCAATAGAAACGATCAGAAAGACAGATCTAGCCAATATCGACAATCGGGATGATATATTGGAGAGCTGTTTCTCAAAACATAATTACCAACGCAGTCTTTGAACACAGCGCTCCCCCTTTCAAAATGCAAGACTGTACTTTGCAGACAAAGAGTTCGTTTTCCTGCCTAATACCCGAGCCTTTCCTTGCTACTAGTCGCGACATCAATCACCTGCTTCATCTCCAGCAGTCTCTCGTTCCAGGTAGAAGAAGCTTGGTAGAGGTTACAAAAACGTATATCGGCATCGATGAAAAACATCAAATATTACTTGCAGTTCGCTTTCCTTCATAGCAATCTTTTGGCTGATTCGACGAAGCGTTGTAGGAAATTTGCAATCACAACGAATGCCACGAATGGTTAGCGCTCCACTCCATGAGTCGGGAATTGGCCTAAAGTCCGATTGACTTGTGAGAAGACAGCAACTTGCTGCACAATGAGGGGCCGATGTGCCCCGTGGCTGCAGGTTCGGGCCAATCTCAAGCAGGCTGTACTATGCGCGGTTCTCGCCAAGCAAACGACACGGCCAACGCGTGCTGACGATATTGCATCGTCTTTCCCCGCACGATATCACGCTCGAGACAAATCTTGATTACAGAGAAGCAGGCCGCATTCTTACTTCTCAGCTTTCATGGCGAACCGTGAGTTCGTCTTCTTTTACGCACCAACATGGGACTACCCACCAGAAGGACCGATCAAGCTCGGCAACATCATCACATCGGTTAAGAAGCCGCATCTTCCGATTTCCTGCATCCCGCCGCTGGAGGAAGATGGGATCTTCAGAACGCAGAAGAGAAGCGTCAAGTATACGAAAGAGAAGATGCGAAGTGGGAAGTTCTCCATCTTGACAAAGTTTCTGAGCATTCTCGGTTTTGGCATCGACGTCGGAGCGGAAGTTACCAAAGGGTAAGGTCCATCGTAGTCGAACAGTTGCAACGCAGTATGCTCACGGGATTAGCGATGAGGAATCCTTCATTTTCAGCACTATCGACACCACCCAGTTCAACCCTTCACTGACTTACCTCCAACACTCCATCGAGAACACCAACGTCCGTCGTTTCCTGCAAGCCGCACGTTACCGTAAGCCTGTATATGTCATCACCGGAATTAAGGTCGTCAAGGGAGCCGAAGCCAACACCTCTAAGTCTAGGGGCATTGGTGGCAACATCGCCGTGGAGGTTGACGGTACCCTTCTCAGTGGCGGCACCGTTCCAGTTGGAGGAGGCCCCGGCGTAGAGGGAAAAGTTAATGACAAGAAAGGGACCAGTTGGGGTGGCAGTAGCGACTTCGTCTTGCGTTCCGCGTCAGCCGGGTACTTGTGAACAAGGCTGATCAGGTTTCAAGCGAGGAAGAGTATTTAAAGGGAGCGATGCTAGGAGAATATAGCCAGCCGACGAAAGAATTATTACTGGCAATCACTAGAGTAGATGAGCCGAGGGCTGAAGAAGAAGGCTACGAAGCCAAGGAGCTGATGGATGATGGCAGTTTGGTGCTTTGCGCGATTCCACAAGACGAAGAGTTAGACGGGGATGACTGAGATGCAGCATTACGCGAACCTACTATGTCGCATTTCGTTGTGTCCATCATCAGACCATACAATTACCCAATACATCTCGCCTATCTTTTCAACGTTTCTAGAAACTCATAGTTCACACCCTCCAGTTCCCTACCAAATAGATTATGTTCATGCAGACTTAGCTCGATGTACGAATAGCCGTCCGTAGACTTGTACCTCGGCCCACGTTCAGCGCACCGTCTTAACAACGCTTCCATATTTTCCTTGCGACTGAATTCAGATGATTTCTCGGGTGACAGATGTAGTCGCGCATATTGTAGAAGAAAAGCCGAGATGCCTGCAAGGATAGGCGTGGCATAAGAAGTTCCGGACCGGGAAACGTACTCTTCAGTACCAGGCCATGCCGAGAGAACCGACTCTCCCACGGTTGAGAAGTTCATCGTACTTGCTTCTGGAGGCGGACTGAAGTCAGATACTTTGCCTTTGGTGTTGGTCGAATGCACGCAAATGACGTGAGGACTACTGGCAGGGTACGCCCGGCCAGAATTGCCGCCGTTGTTCGAAGCAGCGGCAAACATCAAAACCTGTTTGGAATATGCCATGTCTATTGACTTTCGGAGACCGTCATGGCCTGGAAAGTTTGAAGTAGGCCAGCCGAAAGACATCGATATGATGTCCACGCGCCATACGTCAACTGCGTGGCCGATAGCCTAGGATTCAAATCTTAGCTATCATAATCCTGAAGCAGGAGAACGCGGCATATCGAGGTCGAAGCTGCCATAGATAGGTATTAAACTTACTCTCTGTACAACCTCTGCATCGGGCAACGTATTATCGTCCGCAACTTTGATTACATAGAGATCGGCATCAGGAGCGTAGTCGAGGATCAGATTTGCCGCAAAGGTGCCATGCCCAGTCGTATCTGTCACCCTACGCTTGCGAGACGTGTCGTAAAAATTGTGCTTCCCTTTGATGTCTCTGTGAGCCTCCAGTAAAACATGATCCTCGTCAATTCCCGTGTCAAGGATGGCAATCCTAATGGGGCTTTCCAAATAAGATGGGATGTATTTCTCGATGAACTTCTCATAAACACTCAAGTACCTCCGCTTCCAATCGTCGTAGTTGTTGGATCTGGAGGTAGAATTAGTCTGAAATCCTTGAAATCCCATTTTTGAAACTCGATGATTTTGTAGAGTAACACGTGAAAGCTTACATCTGGCCTTTCTCGTCATCAAAAAAGTGACCTTGAGCATCGCCGACGCTGAGACTAGAGCTCGTTACAACCTGCCGTCCTGGTGTGTAGGAAAACGTTGAAGATATCCTTGACCTAAAATCTGTACTCGCCACGCGTTTGGCAAAGGCTTGAACAGACAACGCTGTTGATGGCGCAGGTGTTTTTGAATATTTCTCGGCGCCGCCGTGCCCCGAATGCATCTGCTTTTCGCTGTACATTGCCTTTCCCCATTGCGAGAAATCTATGTTCCTCGCGAACTTGTCGACGCCGTCGAGTGGTATGTCACTGAAGCCGTGGACCAGATGCAGCTCAAGCGGTCGAACAACCTTCTCATATATTCTCGATCTGAGTGTCTCAGGACCGAGGGGATTCTGGTGTTCATCTTCCCAAAGTTCGGCGTCCAGACAATTCTCAATAGCAAGAATGAGGTTCCGAAAGTCCCCTGGTATTTCGGATTTTAAGCCATTCTGCTCACAATCGCTATCGTCATCTTCGTCTCTGTCTCCGTTGAATACCTGGTCCGTATCTACAAAAGCAACACGGCCATTTCGCTTTTCGAGAAGCTCAATTTGCCGCATTTCAGCCAGTGTTCTGAAACTCTTGACGAAATGGATTTCCATTAGAACGATAGCTAGGTCAATCAAAAAAGGACAAAGATGGCTCATATACATCTCGTCATCGTCGAGTACGTCGTCGTTATGGGTTTCGAGAGTGTCCTCGTGAAGCTCCGTCTGGATGAAAGGCCTTAACGGGACTTCGTTTGAGGTCGTCTGGAAAAATGCGATGTCCACAGATCCCCATCCTGGTTGAAGCCACGAAGTTTGGTGTAGATGGAGAACTGTGCAGCCGATGATAAGGGAGAGAACACGTTTCGTTTTCTCCGTGAAGCATTGGGGGCGCTCTTCTATGAATTTCGCGAGTGAGATAGCTTCGGTGGCTCTAGAAACGGGAAAGTTGGTCTTTTCGAAACCCATGTCGAATAGCTCATCGCCGGTAAGCTTCAACTTCAGTCGTCGTAAATGTATTGACTGCTGTGATTTGATTTCCAGCTGAGCACATAGCCTTTCGACTTTTCCTCGTACTCTGTGGGGATTCTTTTGAGGGGACGATGTGGTATCAGCTGGAATGTTGAAGCCAACCCGCGACCGTTTCACGTAGTGATCTGCATGGACGCGAATTTCGTGCCGTTCTTCCTCCCGTGAGAGAAACATGTCGAATTCAAGATCCCCATGACATTTGGCGTCAACATAGCGCCTTTGTGCCCGATGGGAACTAGTCCTGGACGGCTGTCGATACGTGCTCAGCTGAAACTTCGCGTCGAATTGACGGGGCAGTGAGCAACTGCAAGTCTTACAGCTGAGCAATGCGTTGTATACCGACTGCGCTGGCTTCCAAACCGTCATCGATGGCTCGCCGATGGGATGAAGTTGGGTCTTGTCCCCAGCATCTCCGATTAACTCTGCTGGAAATTGTTTGCATAACTCATCCGTGTAATTTCCTAAGATGCTTTCAAAACCTTTTCGCTCCTCTTCAGACCCGCTGGGCCTCAGCCATCGGCTGACAAAGGAGAGTTCTCCTCCGAGGGGGAGAGTTCGCCAAAGGCGATTGAGTAACCGCAGTCGATCTGAAGTTGTTGAGGGATAGGACAGTGATTCTTGAAGACCTGACCTTGGGATCAAAGAGTCCAAGTGTTGAAGGACTTTTTGGACTGCTGCAGGGTGCGCCTGAGGCGAGATTACCGTGTAGTCCCATAATATCAGGCAATAGTATGCGAGGTGGCTGTAAAATAATTTGTGTTCTCCGCTTGGACTGCGAAGTCGTGCAGTGGTGGCCATTTGTCGGAAAGTCTCAAAAGTCTCTCGAAGTAAGTTGGCATCCACAGTGCCGCCCTCATCCGGTTCCGCCATCACAGTGGTACTCCATGCAATGGCCAGCAGTAATTCAGGACTGAAATCGTAGAAGACTCCATGCGTGGATGTAGATGGTCAGATCACCAGTGCGGCCACATTGTTTGCCCAGCTATGTTTTGAGTACGTTCAGGAGACTAGAGGAGCAGGCGAGTAAGATGCTCAGGCTGACAGATAGCCAGGGAAATGCGGTGAAGGCGAAATGTCAGCCTACCAAAGAACTAACAGTCAACTCTGATGCCTTAACGTATGCGTCATAATGTGATCTTCATGATTGCGATCACCTATGCTCCATAGATGAAAAATAACATTCGTGGGAAATTTGGCTTTCCTAGATCAAATCACAGCAAAAATTGAAATGATAGGTCTCTTTGGCCATGAATTTGGCATACCAAGATGAAAATGAACGATACGGTCAGTGACGTCCTTGATAGTGCCCCCTCACTGGATAAACCAATCAAAACGTCTGTGGTCGTTGCCAAGCTGAATGGCTTCAAGGTGTGTGGAAGTGAGGAGTCGGAATCCATGATTGCGAAAGACTTAGTTTTTCACTGTCTACACGAATAGACAATAAGAGCTATGGTGTGTAACTCCATCTGTCCCATCGCATGACGGCCTCAATATACGGGCACCATAATCAGTCTCAGCGGACGTTCGCGAATAATGGAATCGAGGGACGATGGCCGTGAGGCTTTGCCGTCAACTAAGCCAGAGCCGACCGTTGCCGCTTCTGCCAACAAGTGTCTCGCATCGTTTGACGAAGCCCTTAAACGAGCTTCTATACGCAGCGAGAGAGACCTTTCGATGGTGGAAGACTACTGCGCTAGGTTTTCTACCTGGGCTGCCACAATGGGAGTATTTGAATCAGCACGAGCATCCATGGACCATCGACTCCGAGTCGCGCCGGATGTGCGAGACGTCGTGAACGGGTTGTTGGAGTCACTGAGTTACCGTATTTTGAAATGTGAGTTCATAATTCTCTCTTCTATAATGCTTCGTGCCGACGACGTCCCGACGACGTCCCTTGAAGTCGTGTGAACAGCGGATACTTGGCCTAACTCACTACACAGGCTCGACAATCTTCGACGAGCTACTGCAAAACGTGACGCCGACGGAGATACATCCCAAAAAAGTTCAATTGGAACAAGCCTTTTCGGAAATTGGGACAGAGATAAGTCATCTAAACAAGATTTCAAACACGATTAGAAGAGCCAGCAAAGAAATGCATATCCAGCGAGCCAGAAAATTTCTGATAACGGACGATGAAGGGACCGACATTGAAGCTACACTTTCCAATCAATTCGTCCGTATGATAAGAGACCGATTTCACCTGATCAGGGAAGATGTCGAACTCAGGGGAGATACGAAACTTGAACAACGACTCGTTCGCTCAATGATTCTGCGGTGGAAACGAGTACTGCATCGAAGACATCGCGAGGGTTTCGATGCCATCGAGATACGGCAGACCGGATCTAAAACATCCATGAACGTCCCAATGCTGTATGCGAAACGTTTCGATCGAAAGGCGAATGATGGAGAAGCCGTCCAGGCAAAAGCTTTCGCAGCGTCTACACCTTCTCCAGCTTCTCCTTCCATCGTCCGGAGTGCAGCAACGACACTGGACCCCACGAATCATAGGCGCGTGTCGTCAAGTCCCTCTGTGAT